TAAAAATCCTTTAAAATGAGTCCAAACTCGACATATTTAACTTTAATATTAATGGAAATACAATCACTTCCGGTTTGAAACGTCAACGTCAATTTTGACATATTTGTCATCTTCATTAAAAAACCTTTAAAATGAGTCCAAAGATGACGCATTTATCTCAAAAAACAAAAAAGTTAGAATAAAAATCAACAATGAAGAGCAATTTAATTTTGAAATATTAATACCAACCTAAATTTTTATTTTTTTTTTATTATATTTTTGTTATGGTGACAAATATTAAGACATTTTATAAAAATTAAGAATATATCAAAATGACGTTGACATTTCAAACCGGAAGTTGCTTATATCTCGAGTAATATTGAAATTGAACTTATCATGTTTGGGCTCATTTTAAAGGATTTTTCATGACGATTACAAATATGTCAAAATTAAGGTTAACATTTTTAAACGGTTGATCATAACTTCATTAATATCAAAGACATCCAAAAGACATCCCAAATTAAATGTCCTTAGCGTTCAAGGTTATAAAAAATGGCAGTCCTACATCAAAGGTTAAGTCAAGTAGCTGAATGTATTTATGAATTGGAAAGCCATTTTGAAACAGCCCTTTCCTCAAGCTCTTTGCTTAACCAAGAGGAAAGGGAAGTAAAAATCTTTTTAGTCCAATCCATCTTGCTGCAAATATTTCTAGATCAAAATTTTAATAGAATTCATCTTAATAGAGAAAAACAAATACAAGGAACAGAGTTTATAGACAATAGGGCTACTGTAACAAGCCCAAATGAGTATGCAGAGGTAATGGCAGAATTGGCCCCTTATCGATATAAAGGAGGGTTTTTTGGAAAATCATATGTTTTAAAATCCGTGGAAAAACTACAAGGAGACTTGTTTTGGGTCAACATTAAGTGAAGATGACTTTTGACAGATGATTTCATGTCACGTTTAGCAACCCTAATAAACTAATTAAATTGGCTTCAATATTAATTGATGTCACAATGAAGATGAGATTACAATTTTTCTTGTATCTTCATTATTATTGACAATTGTGTTAAATTAGGTTAAATCGTAATAATTTCTTGTATTACATTCACTATTATTTTGTCTCTGATCAGTTATAGAACACCCTGTATAAAAAAAAGAAAAGAAAATTAAAGCGTTTTTTTAAATTAATTAAAATAATGCTCAATAAAAAACATTTAGAAACAAAAATGATTTCATTTTTAGCACGAATTGAGTTGATACTTGTCATTTGACAGGTGACATATAAAAATTAATCTGTCAATTTTAACCTAAAAAATTAACGAAATGACGTTTACATGGTTTATAATTTTCATTAGTACCAACTTAATTAAATTAAAAAGTGAAACGACCTCAAATTCGTTTCTAAAAATAAAATTATTATCTTTCTAAAAGTTTTGTTTTGTTACCAGAAAATATTAGTAAATAAAACAAACCAAAAATTAGTAGTAATGTTAAATTGTTAGTTAACCCCAAAAATAATATTAAAAGAAATTGTGTTTCAATCAAAAATTGAAAAATCAATCATAATAAAAAAAATAGCGCGTGCATTAGTGGCAGTTAAACTACAAACGAAAAAAAAAGTTTTAAACTAACATTTTCTACTTCAAAATCCAACCAAACTACGACCATTAAATAACGTACCTTAACCTCATTGATTTAGGTTGGAGGGTTTAATGAGATAGAGAAAGAAAATTTGATGAATTAAAAAAAAAATCTATAAAAAGATACATTTTTTTGACTGAATTTACGATTTGTATTAAATTTCGTTGTAATTTCTCACCCTTGCTATACAAAATCGGGACGTAATCGGTCGATAAACGATTCTTGGTCTTAATTCCCACCAAAAGGGGTGATCCTCGACGAGTTGCAACACATTCACCCGGGAAATGTTTTGATTTAAAACACAAAGCGAACGCTCCTTCCTAAATAAATAAACCATAAATTAAATTTAATTAAAAAAATGTTTTAATAACTAACCATTTGTTGAACAACTTGTTCGACGAGTTCTCTAAATGAATAATTCGGGTGAATGTTGTAAAAGTGAAGAATTAATTTGGCGATAATTTCGGTGTCTGTGTCGCTTTCAAAACAGAATCCTTTGTTTTGGAGGAACACTTTGACTTCTTTGTAATTGGTGATGATGCCGTTGTGAACCACCAAAAATGCGTTTTCTTCATCGGAACGTTGAGGGTGGCAATTAATTTCACTTGGAACGCCGTGAGTAGCCCAACGAGTATGTGCAATTCCACAATGAGTATCAATTTTATCATCCATGTCTACTTCAGATTCTTTTACTATATGCAAAAAAGAAAATTGAATCAATTCAAATTAACTCCACCTTAAATCTAATTCTTTTTTTTTTAAATAAATCACATTGAATTAGATTTAAATGAATTAAACTAAGAATGCGGTAAAATAATCACGTTTTCTCTTTAAGGTGAATGTAACAACGTGATATATATTATATCGGTGCAGGTTTCCTACTTTGGTTCTTAATCCATACTTAATGGGTTAAGTTTAAAAAAAAATTTAGCCTTGTTATTTTAACAACCGGTTTTCTAATGCAATATTTGCTAAACTTACGCTTATTAATTTCTTCTTCGAGTAAAGCGACTTTCCCGGTCTTTTTAATGAGGGTCATGGTTTTATCTGGAGAATCAATGGCAACGCCTAAAATAAATTAAAAAAAAATTTGTTTTAATAAAATAATTTAATTTTTATTAATTATTTACCCGCTGAGTCATATCCACGATATTCCAATCTTTTTAAACCGTTCACCAAAAGCTCAAGAATCTCCTTTCTGCTCCTTGGAGTCAAATAATTAATATAACCAAAAATTCCTAAAACAAAATTAAGTTTAAAATCAAACGTTTATCTTAACGTAAACTAAATTATTTCTATTTTCGTAACAGCCTCCAAAGATTATTTCTAGCCGATGGCTTTAAACTTGAAGCAGTAACAAGGTAAACACAGAAAAAAAATTTTTTTTTGTAGGAATAAAGCTAAACCTTCGAGGTAAAGCTCAGATCCGTTTTAATCTGAAAGTTGATACAGAGAGCTCGCGACATTTGATGCCAAATCAAGGTGAAGCGAGAAGAGAGAAGACCTTGTGGGCAAGTAGTGCCATGTGAATCCTTTTAGTGTGCAACGAACTGTTAAAAAAAATTACTTCCAAAAAAAAATCATTCTAATTTTAATCAAAACAATTTTTTATTTTTATCTTATTGATTTCTAATCAATCGATATCTAGTTATAACATCCGCTTGTTTATTATTTTTTCAAGTGGTTACATAAAAAGGGTTTCTAATTTTTTATTTATTAAATGTTAATCCATTTGGGTATAAATCAATTTTATTGATAGATTGAGTGATATATATCGCGGTGTGCTTAACAAGGCAAGGACGGGAGCTGAGTTACGTTGTAACCCTTATCTAAATTCCTCTTTTTACGCGAGGTTCACACGTGCACTTGATGAAGTGTGCACTTAAATATATTTCAGAACACGAGATTAGTTAGAACTACACCAAAAGATTAGTAATACTTAAATTTAAACCATGTTTGCGAGAAGAATTGTTCATATTAAGACAAATAGTGCCAAAAAGATATCCTTCCTCTTTGATACATAAGCTTATTAGTGAGTTAAATGTTAACAACATCTTCATAGTTTTTATTTTTTTAACACTGACATATTTTGTAACAAAATGTAGAAAGTGCTTATTCTGCGAAGAATTCTTACTCTCTTTTTGATGATGATTTTAGTTAACATTTACCGGTTTCATTTTTGACATCTTCAGGAGTAATTAATAAACTATTCATGGGATAATTACAGCGGTTTTACGTGTTCTCATTGGCGAAAAGCTGTTAGACGACTAAACCCAAATGTTTCTAATTCTAGATCTAGTATTAGTTCAATAGAAATATACAACAACCCAACGCTGAATAACAATTAAAACTAGAACTAACACTAGACCTAGAACTAGAAATATTCTAGTTCTAGAAACTTTCTAGTTTTAGTTTACTAAAAATATACAACATAGCGATATCTAGGACTAACTAGCGATACCTAGCTATATCTCAATTCACCAAGAAGATATACAAGAAAAGGTTTGCATCTTTATTTTGTACATTTTTAAGTCTAGTAAGTAACCAAATCCTAAACATTGTAGATAATGAAACATGTTTTTCTAAATGACTACGAAATTGCGATTAATTGGGCTTTTTTTTGAGATATCAGAGTCATCAAAATATCTCAATTAACATAGAAGTTATCCAAAATATGATTTACATCTCTATTTTGTAGATTTCAAGCTATACTAAGTAATCAAATCCTAAAAATTCTAGATACTGCAACGAGATTTCTTGTATGATACTGAAATTGTGATTAATTGGGCTTTCTTTTGAGATATCAGTCGTCAAAATATCTCAATTTACTTAGAAGTTATCGAAAAAATTGTTTTCATCTTTTTTTGTACATTTCAAGCCATGCTAAGTAACCAAATCCTAAAAATTCTAGATACTGAAACGGGATTTACTGTATGATTCTGAAATTTTGATTAACTGGGCTTTCTTTTGAGATATCAGTCATCAAAATATCTCAATTAACACAGAAGTTACCCAAAATATGATTTACATCTCTATTTTGTAGATTTCAAGCTATACTAAGTAATCAAATCCTAAAAATTCTAGATACTGCAATGAGATTTCTTGTATGATACTGAAATTGTGATTAATTGGGCTTTCTTTTGAGATATCAGTCGTCAAAACATCTCAATTTACTTAGAAGTTATCGAAAAAATTGTTTTCATCTTTTTTTGTACATTTCAAGCCATGCTAAGTAACCAAATCCTAAAAATTCTAGATACTGAAACGGGATTTACTGTATGATTCTGAAATTTTGATTAACTGGGCTTTCTTTTGAGATATCAGTCATCAAAATATCTCAATTAACACAGAAGTTACCCAAAATATGATTTACATCTCTATTTTGTAGATTTCAAGCTATACTAAGTAATCAAATCCTAAAAATTCTAGATACTGCAATGAGATTTCTGTATGATTCTGAAATTTTGATTAACTGGGCTTTCTTTTGAGATATCAGTCATCAAAATATCTCAATTAACACAGACGTTATCCAAAAAATGATTTACATCTCTATTTTGTAGATTTCTAGCTATGCTAAGTAACCAAATCTTAAAAATTCTAGATATTGAAACGAGATTTTCTGTATGATTCTGAAATTTTGATTATTTGGGCTTTCTTTTGAGATATCAGTCATCAAAATATCTCAATTAACACAGAAGTTATCCAAAAAATGATTTACATCTCTATTTTGTAGATTTCAAGCTTTAGTATAGCTTATCAAATCCTAAAAATTCTAGATACTGCAACGAGATTTTTTATAATCACTACGTGATTATATTAAGAGTGGATTACAAGTCATAAAACTTGGTCGCAATCCACATCTTAATACGGAAATGGAAGAAGATGAAAAATTTGGTTGAGCGAGATTGGAATGGCAGTAGATAAGTAATGAGAGTTCTGGAGCGGAATTTGCTCCTAATGCTCCTGCCGTGACGTCACGCTCCAATGTTATAAGTATAGGGAGGGGTGCCAACCTAAACTTGTGGGGAAAAAATTCGGTTGGTATTGGATCTGGTGACTTCTTTAAAAAAGTAACTAGAATAATTCGCACGAAAATTACAGGAAAGTTCTTGCGTGCTACTGTATCCAACACTAACACTACTAGCACAGAATAACCAGAAATGACACTGACGTCGATTCGTTTGATGTGGGCACCTCGTCTTGTGATCGATTTAAAATATGCCATCTTACCACAAGTTACCAAAAGCACAGAATCGAGGTCCGTTGAGTAAACACACTTTATAAGGTTATCCAACTCCCTATGAACGCTGTTGTTATGAACGTATCCGTCTTTAGAGACGTGCGATTCTAGTTCTAGGTATAGTGTTACTTTTACTGATAGTACTAGCGTAAAACTAGAACTAACACTATACTTAGAACTAGAATACAATTTCAACCAACCGTATAAGGTCATATTTAGAAGCAGGTCTCAACTAAAAAGAGGAGCCCTAGTTTGATACACCGATGCTTCAAAGACAGTAAGATCGGGAGTAGGATGGGCATCAGTGGACCAAATAGCCACATCAAATTGCCTTTCAGCTCGGACTTAACAATTTTCCAAGCAGAAGTTCTTGCTATAAACTTCTGCACCGCTTTGAACCTACAGAAGGGACAAAAAGGTGCATCCATAAACATTTTCACAGACAGTCGGGCCGCCTTAAAGGCAATTCAGGCCTACACGTGCGACTCCGCACTGATCAGAGTGTACCAGCAACCTGAGAGAACTCGCTAGGGGCAATGATGGTACCCTATGGTGGGTTCCAGGTCACAGCAACATTGAGGGCAATGAGAAGGCGGACAAAGAGGCAGCGAACACGCTCTTCATTGGACCCCAATCTGGTTGTGGACTATAACAAAGCCACCTAAAACAGATAATCAACAACTGGGAGGTTTCAAAGACAGCCTTATACTGGAAAAAACTTCCACAGGTCACAGACAAGCGAAGAGTATGATAACTCCGTCGCACAACAAAACCAAATAGGTTTTATGCCTCAGCAAAGGGGATCTAAGAACGCTCTCAGGCTACCTAACCGGCCATGCGCCCATAAAATACCACCTCTTCCACATTGGACAAGCGGAGGATCAAACTTGTCGACTATGCAACGACGAGTCAGAAACTACTGAACATATACTGTGCAATTGCGTCGCCAGAGGCCGTCTAAGACACAACATTTTCAGTAAAACTCAGGACAATACTAAGGTTCATCAAGGGCCTACATTTGCCCTAAACCTTTGGAGGGCTAAAGTTACAATAGATCTTATAGGTTGCGGTAACAAGAGGGGCCGCTCTCCTCAGCCCGGTAGCAATAATACTAATAATACTTAGAACTAGAATCATTTGGGTTTAGCCGCACGTCTCTAAAGGCAGCTAAACCCGTAACATAGTGTTAATTTTACATAGTAACAGTGCTAGTGTAAAACTAGAACTAACATCATACTTTGGCTAATGAGTTGGCGATCAGGATGTTGTATTGAAGAGGTCAACTACTTACAAAATCAGTTTTTGACACTTAGAAAATTGTTTAAAATAATTGGTTACCATAGTTACCCGTGGATTTAGAACATTAATTGTAACACAAGAATGCGATTTAAGTTTTATAAAACCCAATTTTGATTTATTGTAATACTCAACCTAAGTTAACGCTCGATTAACATCAAGTTAAGTGTCGATTAAGTTAACAAAATAAATAAATTTTCATCTATTAATGAAAAACCTATTGCGTCCTTGAATTTCTATAACAGAGTTTAACCAGAGTATGAGTGAAAGATTCGTTTGGAGTTTTGTCTATTATTGATTATGTAATCTGGAAAGGAGAATTTTACGAGTAATAAAAGTGAGCAGCTAGCAAACCATCCCTTGGGCACCAAATTATGGCTATGATACGTAGATGTAACCTTTATCATCTCGAAACATGGCAAATAAAGGATAATCCAGAGAATTGATTCTAAATAGTGAAATGTTAAAAGCTTAAAATATCAAAAATTACACCTTGAGGAATTCTTAGAAACGTCCAATATGAAATTTTTGATACATAAATTAGATGTTTGTGTGGTTAAGTTGCTTTAGGACTAAATCCAGTTTTGTTGTCAGGTTGGCATACTTTGGTGATCTTTGATGTTAGATTGAATTGGTTTGAAGTTGACTAGACTTGGTTTGTGATTGAATTCGATTACTTTTTACCCAACCCAACCACATGCCAACATTCAATTGCAATAAGTTGAGTTGGAATGCTTTGTAGTTAAATAATTACATCCTTAGACTTGGATTAATTGAACGGGCAGTTTGAACATTGAGGTTGGGTTGCTTTGGAGTTGGGTCACTTTATGGATACATTGTCTTGGCTTAGTTTTTGGTTGAATTTAAGTATTAGAGTTGAATTAACTTGATTAGCAATTGTTAATTTATAATTTCGTTTCTTTGGAGTTGAATTGAATTACTTTGAGGTCTAGTGTAAACGTTGGGGTTGGACTAGGTTGCTTTTGAGTAGAGTCATTTTATGGATAAATTATCTTGGCTTAGTTTTCGGTTGAGTTTAAGCATTACAGTTGAATTAACTTACTTTGCAATAATTATGTTATTTTGTGATAACATTCCTTAGGAGTTAGAATGAATTATTTTGGGTTGCTTTGGAGTTGAATCAAGGATGCATTTAAGTTTTATAAAACCTGAGTTAACGCTCGATTAACATCAAGTTAAGTGTCGATTAAGTTAACAAAATCATTCAATCAAAGATTAAAAAAATTGGCAAATTGCTACATGGCAAATAAAGGATAATCCAGATAATTGATTCTAAATAATGAAATGTTAAAAGCTTAAAATATCAAAAATCAGAACTTGAAGAATTCTTAGAAACGTCCAATATGAAATTTTTGGTACATAAATTAGATGTTTTTGTGGCTAAATTGCTTTAGGACTAAATCAAGTTTTGTGGTCATCTTTGATGTTAGACTTGAATTCGATTACTTTTTACCCAACCCAATCACGTGCCAACATTCAATTGCAATAAGTTGAGTTGGAATGCTTTGTAGTTGAATAATTACATCCTTAGACTTGGATTAATTAAACGGGCAGTATGAATGTTGAGGTTGGTTTTGAGTAGAGTCATTTTATGGATAAGTTCCTTGGAGATGTCTTGGCTTAGTTTTTCGTTGAGTTTAAGTATTTACAGTTGAAGCCAGTTAAATTTTAAAAGTAATCCAAACCCGACCAGGTATTACAATGAATTCGGTTGGGTTGCATTAAAGTTAGATTCGTTCGCTTTAGGAGTGGATAACTTTATAATTGAATTACTAAGGGGTATGATTATCTTGCTTCGAAGTTAGATTACTTTGTGATTATGGTCCTTTCTGGTTGGTTTAGCTGAAATTTGGGAGTTGCTATGCTTTGTTTTGTGTTTGGAGCAAGATTTGAGCTTGAATCGTTTGCTTTTTGGGTTAGATTGGGTTGATTTGAAGTAGATGTGGCTTAATTTGTTTGGATTGAAATCTCAAACCAACACAACCAACCACGTTGAATTACTTTGGAGTCGATTAGCTTGCTAGAGTTTGAGGTTTAGCTTAATTTGGGTTATCTTTATAGTTGGATTAACACAGTTATTTCATGGAGGAGTTGGAAATAATGCTTTTACTTGCCATGGCATTTTTAAATAAAGTGAAGTAGTTAAATATTCATTTTTAAACGTTGCGTAAGCTTAACATATTTTTCTATTATGTAAAAAATGAAAATGTAAAATAGCACAAAAGATAAATTATGCAGCAAAGATAAACATAAAAGATTAAATTCTTATTTCCTTTCAACTAATTAAATAAATAAATTAATATGTTGTTAATTGAAACCAATTACGATGTGGAAATTACGCGTTTATCATCGCACTTTCTCGAAAAGAATTTATTGTACCTGCTGATAAGAACTCTAATTTGTGAACTTTCGCAATAGTTTTACCTTTAATTTTGATTGGGAAAAAACAACTTAATTCTCACAAATTAATTCGTAATAGTAGCATAATCAAAATTTATTGTTCCATAGTTCTAAGCGATAACGGTTTTGATGAATGTAGCAATTTCAAGTGAATTCAGATTAAATTTTTTTACTTGATAAACATGTTTAGAACACAATTTTCGATTATTTTTTGATTAATTTTAACCAGGATTTCATAATTTAGAGGGAATTGAAGAATTTGTAATGGGTTAAGCAAAGAGAGAGCAAATGGCGACAATGTTCACCAAGAATGCGACCTTGGACGATGGTTTTTGTTGCCGGTGAAAAGGTTGCGAGAATACGAAACGAACTCCAACGCAAAATGGTTTAAAAAAAAAATTAAGGATGATACTTAAAGAGGTTCTTGAGTCAAAGGGTTTTTATCGAGGAGGTTTTGATGGCGATAAAATTTAATTTACAAAGAGGTCGTTGTGATAAAAAACTTTTAAAAGGTGTAATTGTCCTCGAAAGAAATTCCCAACCCAACTTTAACTAAGCAAGGTCATCGTTTTTAATCGATCAAAGAAAAGTGAATGTCTTTTATGGTGGAAATTAGATTAAATTATCTAAGTTTTTTATTAATACCGCTTATTTTTTTTAGATTAATAAGAAAACTTTGATAATCTAATCTAGAAACAATACGGTGGCAATAATCGTTAAAAAATTTTCTTACAATTAGAAAAAAATTTGAATGGAAAATTTTTTAATACACACTCTTTATCACCCGAATTTAATCTATTATTAGCAAATTGGAAAGTTGTAAAATCTCAAAATATGATGATGAAATAATAGGGTACGGTTAAATAATAGAGAAAGGCACACATAACATTTATAAACACAAAGACACACGCCTAAAAGAATCAAAAATTAAGATGTAAAAAGGATATGTAAAAAAGATAACGGATTTCTTTTAAAATTACATATTTAGAATACAAATTCACTTTAATCCATAAATTTGAATGAGTACTACTCAAAGTTTAAACAAATTAAGAAATAAACAAACAATTAACACAAATCGAAAACTTGAATTTCAACTTTCTCCTTCACTTCTCTTAAATGTCAAAGGAATCATTTGATTTAGAAACTAATCTAAAAAAAAATTTCGCGGGTTATTTTTGAAAAAAAAAAAACATCAAGATACAAGGATCGACCCCAAAAAAAAAAACAAAACAAATACGATCAAAACAATTTTGAGGTTATATCAAAATCGACAAAGATTAATTAATAAAAAATTAACTTACCACACATATCTTCGGATCCACGTACACAAGAACGAAGTTGAATTTAAAAACAAACCGTGTTTAAACGTACGAAAAACGATCGACGACAAACTGAGCCGATATCACTTTTTGACAGGACTTTTATACGTACGTGTCGTGTGTGACAAATCTTCCCCCTCCTCGACACCTAGCACCATCTATCGGCGAAAAACGTTAATTCTATTATTACATAGTATTATACAGGGTGTTAATTAATAATTATTAATTACATGTTATATCTTGGAATTTATGTATATTTTAATTTATTAATGTATATCTTAATGTTTTTTATAGCGTATTTATTTATTGCTTATTTCGGAGTGCAAATTATTTTTAATTTTATAATGAAATCGATTAAATAAAAATAATACAATAAAAAAAAAATAAAAAAATATGTTTTGTCGGAAATTGTTACTTAAATAGCGATAAGATGGTTATTGATATAAATATAATCGTTGTTATCGCCGGAAACAAGGCAATTTAATAATGTGAGGCGAAAAAGGTGATCAATGATTGATGATTTGATTGTTATTAATTGAAAGCTATTTGAACTAGATAACTAGATAATCGTTCTGAAAATGCTTAAAATGTGGATTTTAACAATAACTATTGATATGATTCATAAATTCATGAAATTGTTTAAAGTGTTTTAACAACTATTAATGTAATTGATTTATTAATTGATGAGTAATTTTTTGATTCCTATAATTTAGAATTTAATATTTTGATATCCCTGATATCATATTCACTATTTTTAGGATTAAATTTGTGTGTGAAATTATTCACAAGCATTGTCGAGGAAAAACTTGAAAACCAAATAAGTAACAAGGTTTCAGAAAAGGTCGATGCAGTATTCATAATCAAACAGATAAAAGAAAAGTCCATCGAGTTTGACAAATCTGCTTCATTGATCTTACGAAAGCTTTTGACAAGGTCCATTTGGCGAACATCATAAACATCTTAAAAGAAAAGAATGCGCCAGCGAACATAGTAAAAATAATACATGAGTTGAATATGAATAACACAACTAAAGTAAGAGCAGGAAATCAAGTAACGGATGCTGTCTTAGCTTCTTTTTGTTTAATCTCCCGATGGATAAAATCATAGAGAAAGTAACATCCTTAAATGTGGACGTGTTGGGCACCGCAGATGATTCAGCAAAAGTTGCAGGAACAGAAAGACCAATAATACGGAATAGAAGTGAGGCAGTGACAAAAACAAACAAAACCAAGAGCATGCTACGAGTGGCAGAAATGAAGACACTAAAATCAATTACAGGGAAAACGAGATTGGACAGAGTAAGATAGAGATCAATACGTTCTAGACATAGTGAGATGGGGATGATAGACTTCCCAAAATTGTACTTGTAAATAACCACTCCAGTTCAAGACCACCTGGAAGACCCCCAAAGAGATGGCATGACAGCTAGAAATCGACATCACAGGAAATGGCTGAAAGGCAATGATCTTAAAATTAACAGATCGACAGATCTCTGACTTACATACCGAAGAACACACCGGAAGTGGTTTAACAAGAGTACATGAACACGTCAGTGAAGCAAAAGGTGGTGTAACTCATCCCTCTGAAGAGCAGATCTTCAGAGAAAGCGAATCTCACGAAAAAGCACACGAAGCTACGGAAGTGACAACAGAAGTTGCCGAACACACTGAAGATGGTTTATCAAAAGTACCTACCCAGCTGGGTAGCCGTGGTGTTAAGCACTCGACTTGCCAGTCTGGGGTCACAGGTTCGATTCCCGCCGTGGCACTGTTTACGGAATAAAAATTGTGTTTATGTGGTGATGGTCTATCCTTTGTTTCTTCTGTGTTGTCCATCCCCTTTCTGTAAGGGAATCATATTCTGAAATATTTATAAATATACGCAGTAACTGGGCAATAAGGACTAAAGTTTTCAAAGCCCAAATCCATCCTTCCTAGTTTATCAAATCCAAAAGTACCTCAACATTTCATTGGAGCAGAAGAGGGTGTAACTCGTGCATCAGAAGAAGGTTGAACAAAGCAGCTGTAGAAGGTGCTGAATTAACAACTAAATTTGCTGATCATACTGAAACTGACTTAAGAGATAAATACAAACATACCAGTGAAGCAGAGGGAAGTGTAACTTATCCTGCTAAAGAACATGGCTTGAAATCAAAAAGTGAACATGGCGATGCTCACGAAAAAACGCACGAACCTCTAGAATTAGCTAGAAAAATTGCTGAACATATACTGAAAGTGGTGTAACAAAAACACATGAACACTCCAGCGAAACAATACAAGATGCAACACAGTGATACTCATAAAAAATTGCTTGAAGTTGCTGAAAATAGTGAATTACTAAGTGAAATTACCGAGCATCAAAACGATCAGAAACAGAGAATGCAGATGAAGTTAAACCAGATATACATGCATATTCGACTGAAGCGGTGGGCGGTTTAATTAATCCTTGTCAAGACAATGAAGAACCCTTGATGAAATCCTTGCCATGAAGAAGCACATGAAACTGCAGGAAAGACTAAACTTGCACCTGAAGTTGATGAAGATAATGAAGGTAGTATATGAATAGCTTCAACATTCCAATGCAGTTGAACATGGCGAAAGTCATAACACACGAAGCTGCAGAGGAAACTGAACAACCAACAGAAGTTGCAGAAGAGCTCATGTCTCTGAAGAGCGTAGAATCAAAGAAGAAAGTGAAGTGAAGTAAGTCAAAATTTGTATACAGGTTTAACCGAGGAACTAGTTTCAATTAAAATATTTTCAGTTTTCTGCAACTTCCGGTTATACCAGAAATGGACCACTACTTCGTTATTTTAAATGGAATGTCCCAATTTTTACGAATTACCCCGCTAAATTTTAATATAATTTGATACAAGTCATCGAAAATTTTGGCATTCGAGGCAGGCCAAATAATCTCAGGGTTTGCACAAATAGGAGACATAGTTTACATAATCTTTGAAAATATTTTTTAAAAACTATACAAGGTGGTCGCGAAATTTCCCTACCTCAAAAAGTAGAAAAGTTAATTTTTTTGAATGGCAACCCCACATCACCAGCGTATTGTACACTGAAAAATAAGAGATATAGGGGTCATATCTAAAATATCGTGGTTATTGGAAAATTTTATATTATCAGTTGCCTTTAGTTTGAAGGAAGTGATATGAAACAAAAACTATTCTAGACTGGAAAATAAGGAAAAATCCTCCTGGTTATAATACTGTAGGTCCACTATTGACGGATTATGGCGTAAGCCGCATGTTGCCTCTTTCCAGTTTTTAGGTTGTTAGGTTCAGTCATTTCTTGCATGTGACAACGAGGTACAAAGGTATCTATACTGGATCATAGCGACGGTCTTCTAACAACACACCTGTGTATCATACAACATCCCTAAGGCATTACCACCATCTTGACACTCAACTATATGCTCTACAAACTCTACTTCCACCATATACACGCCCAACCCAACCCAACCTTATAACAAGCTTACTTATTCATTCCACGCCACCAGTGTGGCCAATATTCCCGTCATATCCAATGTTTAATATTCCTTCATCCTGCTCACCAATGCAACCAAAGCTTGCATCGCACCCAAGACTTCCCGTAATCAGCTTAGGACATATCTTATTGTGTCTAAACCAAATCCTACTCTGTCTTTGGGAAAGTACTTTTGAAAAAATTTTCCCCTCGACCTATTCTTAATCTATGCTGTCCATCATCCATGAAAACTTTACATTAAATAAATTCTAAAAGACTTCCCGTTATCACCTTATGACATCTCTTATTGTCTCTATATCAAAGCCTACTCTATCTTTGAGAAAGTACTTTTGAAAAAATTCCTCCTTCGACCTGTTCTTAATCTATGCTGTCCATCATCCATGAAAACTTTACATTAAATAAATTCTAAGAGACTTCCCGTTATCACCTTATGACATCTCTTATTGTCTCTATATCAAAGCCTGCTCTGTCTTTGGGAAAGTACTTTTGAAAAAATTCCTCCTTCGATCGTGTTATCTCTAAATTAGGTATTACCCAAACTATCTATATCCGCCATCATAACACGTACATTCTCTATGTTCTTGCCCCCTACCATCCTGAAAACACATCCTAGCATCCTTTCTTGGCCTTTCTTTTTTTTTGTCTTATTCTTATTGTATTATACTTTCACTTTTATATTACTCTCCTTATAAAATTCATACTGTAATCATCCTGGCAAGTGCCTCTCTTTAATTCTCTTTTACCCTTTAACACACTTCGCTCTATCATTCCATAAATAAACAGCAAAAAATCTTAGTAATCAGCTTCGTAATTTAGATGGAACTTCAGGACGATAATTGCAACGGCATTAAATCGAGTTTGTAGGAGAATATACATGACAAGGAAAAAAATTGGAGGAAGAACATAGAATACAATACTTGACATAATCGTCAGCTAACTATTATGTGCAGGGGCAATATATGGAGGTTAGTAAGGAGATGGTTTCAAAAAACTCTTTAAAGTTTATTTAAATGAAGCACTAAAAAGATGGAGAAGATCATAACAAGGACTGGATAAAGAGGATCTTGAATTTATGTCAAGGAATTTTTTCGACGATTATGAAAACTGTGGTCTTACAGTAAATTTTAAGAAGACTAAATCTCTTTTAATTAGAACAGTGCAAAAAGCAAATGATGTAAATGATGGTGCCTACGACGAATTAGAAAGTAGAATAGGCTAACGAAAAACAACTTATATATTTGACCTCATATATATTCCACAACCTTGAAAAGTATTGTCTTATATGGAAGTGAAATGTAGCAGTTAACAACCTTGTACACAGATTAGCGCTGTAAACTACTGGCGAAGACCAGCTAGGATATAGAGAATAGATTAAGTAAAAAAGAATAAGGCAAGGAAATATCTAATCTGAAATCAAAATAAGCTTCTTAGTTCTAGTGATAGTACTAATTCCAGTTTTACTTGTTGTTCAATACCAGGATGTTATATACTTTACTGAAATAAAACTAGAACTAACACTAGACCAAGAACTAGAATCATTCGGGTTTAGCCATCTTTGCTGACGTATGTCTAAACCCTAATGATTCTAATTGTAGG